CTTTTCTTTTCTTTACTCCCTTCCGTTTTCTCCTCTCTTCTACCACAACCTCTATACTCAACTTTGTACCGCCACGTGTTCCTTTTCTTTTTCTCTCACTATTGTTTTCCATCTTATCTTCTCGTTCTTCTTCTTCTCCTCTATGCCGTCTTTCCTCGTTCTTCATATATACCTTTCTCTTCCTATCCCGATTTTTTATATTTCCTACTTCTAGTTTTCCGATTTTTCTTTTTATATTTGTTTTATTTCTCTTTTGCCCCTTCTTCTTCATTTCATTCTTATAATGTCGCGCCTATTCTACTCTTTTCCTCATAATTTATTTTCTCTACATTCCTTTTCCTCTAGAGTCAAGTTTTCCTTTCTTTTTGTCAAGATCCTTGCCCAATTTCATTTCTACCTCTCATTCTGCGCAGTTTTCTCCGGCATTGTATTGTGCTCTTTCTCACGGCTTCTATTATCACTGAAGAAAGAGATTGCGATCTTTCCTATATTTATTCTTCTCTATTTCGCATTGGTCCTGACCTCAATCATCTCAATCTCTTTTCTCCCCCTTTTTGATATACTTATTTATGTTGTATTTTTCACTAAGCATTTCTATCTCCTTTTACCTTTCTGTTTCTATTTTGGTACGCGTATGTCTTATTCTTTCTCATGTATATCTTCTTTATTCATGTCTTTTAACTTCACTTCCTATTTCTTTGTTCCTCTTACATTATTTTTCATTCTTTTCTCTTGTTTCCTTTTGTCATATTGCTTTAGTATTTTGTTTTGTTTTTCAATTGAAAAAATGGATCAATTGTACTTGATATTTATTATGACTCACTCAGATTCCAAAAAGTGTTAGTACATGTGGAGGAATTGTGTGGCCGTTCTATTCGCAAGTCAACGTTCTTGACACTCAGGGATTCGCATCAGAATATTAGAATATTTAGTTGAAATCATTGTATCGTACTTCGAAAGATTGAAAAGTACAGGTTGATTGTTGCAAAGTCAACTCGTAATATATAAATCTATATTTAGATAGGTCTGTCAATCAGCGATGAACTTGCGAGAAAACACGATTTACCCTCTGAAATGTTAGAGTTAAAATATTTCGCCGATTCATGAAATGGAAATGTGCCGCATGATGGGCAAGTATTTTGCCGCATATTTATGTGGTTTTTGGAAAATGCGAAGTATGTAATCGCTTGCATTTTGTATAAGTTGTCTTTTTTGATGACCGACTGAAAGAACACGAGACTAGAATTGTTTAGCAGAATTAAATTTCATGCACAAACGTAAAAGGTTATCTAGATGATTTACGCATTCCTGAATATTGCACCTGTATATTACACCCTACAACGTTTTCATGTGCATTGAAAGTGAAGTATTAGTATTTTTATTAACATGGGAAGTGATGTATTACTATTTTAATTGACACTATTTGTAATGTTAGTGTACGGACTTGTGCAACTAGTACTAATGCCAAAACTTAATATTTTAACAGAAAACATCATATTTTTCCAGCGTCCGACAAGTACACTTGCTTAAAACACTAGCAATTCTTTTGCATAAACTGTTTTTATATAATGATCACTATTAGTTATTTTTGATATATTATTAATGAAAAAGAAATTCTTAGTTACCACAAGAACGTTTTTCTATGTACAAAGTTAGGTGCCCATCCGGTAACCGAGATCGCTGAGGCAGTAGTGACTGCAGCAGATTCTAGAGATTTTATTTTCACCAAATATCTTCATAAAATGTGTTATAGTTAACCGACAATAAACGTGAACATAACATTGAACACGGTGGCAAGTGTCAGAAAGCAGCGAACAGTGAAGTTCTCCAGCGCTTGTCGTCCAGTCGGGAACTGCTGGCGAGGGGCGAACTTAAAATAGTGTCATAGCCAGCCAATCGGGGCACTGAGAGCGGCTTTTTCACGTTCAAAGGATTGCCTGCCTGGCACAATTTGCTGAGTGTCAGTTTTCTACTTCTTCGCTTTGAGGCTTCAAAGCGGTGTTCCTGTAAAGCCTCGTTGGTCGCCGGTGGTGGATTTTAGATAGCTGGGTAGGTTTCGACCACTGTCTGTATGAACATTGTAGGTGTCGGTTGCTCTGATAGTTTTACGAAGTTTTTCCTAATAATACCACGCGAATGCTAGATCATCACCCTAGAAAACCGACTGCGCAGGGAATCTCATTAAGTATTGTCCCCCTTCTCCCCTTACACACTCACACACACACACATACACACACACAAAGTGTTATACTAAGTTGCAAACCCACTGCGACACTTTGGCGGGAGACCATTCGAGAGCGTGTAGCTTCGACATCGAGTCGCGGCCGAGGATCTGCCCCGATGTGGGAATGGGAAATACCCTGATGGGGAAAACTTCAGGAAGACTCCTCGATCTGATGTTTCACAGGTGGAATACTACTCTTACAGGACAAATTACATACGTAATTGACGCGACAGTAACATTTTTTGTGTGTAGTGCGGCCGAAGGTCGTGGTTTTCAAATAATAATATCGTGATATTAAATTGAGGTATTAAACTCAGTCAAGTACAACGCGACCACTGACCGTAAAAGGTAGTGGGATTTCTTCGTAAATACCTTTGAAGAACGCAACTTGGCCTGGAGAAAAGTGAAAGTATTTGACGCAGATGTTGTGGTGTGTGGGCAGACGAGCGAGGGCGTTCTGCACGAGGCGCCACGCCGCGTGCTGGTGGAGGGCGCGCCGGGCGCCGGCAAGACGACGCTGGCGCTGCGCGTGCTGCACGCCTGGGCCGCGCGCGACGACCGCCTGGGCGGGCCCGCGGTGCAGCTGGCATTGTTCGTGCCGCTGCGCGAGCTGCGAGGCTCGTCGCTCGCGCACTACCTGGGCAAGGAGCTGCTGCCCAAGTCGGCGCTGGCGCCGGGCGGCGCGGGCGCCGGCTCGGGCTCCAACGGCTTCGCGCACATCTGGAAGTGCCTGGGGCTCCTCGAGGACAGACTGCTCTTCGTGCTGGACGGATACGACGAGGCCGTGAGTCGCATCCCTTCTCAACGCGTGGCGCTTCTTCCTCTGCGGCGTGGCTCTTAACCAGCGAAAGAGCCAGGTCATCCACAGGGATAAAGAGTTACGGCATCATTTAGAGCCATACTTCAGAGGAAGAAGGGACTTTACGACTTCGTGGGGTAGTCAGCTCCGGTACTGAGCCTCTCAAATGTAAAACGTCTCCGCGGCAGCACATCGCTACCTACGTCTTATCCACGCACGCTTCTTTGAGTCCTCATTTAGCTTCAGCTAGAGCGTCAGCTAGTTGAGACAGGAGTGGGAGGGTGAATTATTTCGAAGACAGGGCTATTATATCAAATCTGTGGATCGGTTTTGGATGCAAAATACTTTTGTATTACACGCGGGCTAAAATTTATCGTCGTCGCATTTTGATAATGCTCGTTGTTACCATTTATAAGTAATTCAAGAGATGTTAGTAAAGGATTGGAGGTGGTATTCCGTGACTCGAGAAAACGTGCGCGTATTATAGAATACAATGAGTCAGTGTGTGTGAATGAGTGCATAGAAAAGTCAAGTTGTGAGGTTGGACTCAGAAGAGCGTCGAGTAAATAAATTAATAATGTGGAAATGTAGTAGTCTGGGATATGTTCATTAGGGGCCGTCCATGGATTATGTAAGGGAAATTTGGAGCATTTTGAATACCCCCTCTCCTCCCTGTAACGCACTTGTAACGCGCACTTGAACCTATCTAATAATTGCGTAATTACGTTTGCGACAATCCTCCCCTCCCCCAAGATTCAATCAATATATCATCGATGAAATATATTTTCATTCATTGTAACAATTTATAGAATATAACTTTTTAATTTATCATTTTTAATTTAATTTTTTAATGTGATGTTTTAGTACAAGACTGGCTAAAATAAATTATTTCGACAAATATTGAATGATTTTAAAAATAAATATTAGCACTACTTAACATTCAACTACGACCCCTTACCCCTATGTAACGCAGCGTAACACTGCCTCAACCCGGTCGGACGTCAACATTTATGCACCTAAAAGTTGTTTACAGTTTCTCGCCATCAAGTGAAAATCCGCAAATATTAGTCATGGCAGCTTGTGTGTGGTTGGTCAGGTGGCGCTGGCGGCGGCGGCGGCGGGGCAGGAGGCGACGGGCGCGGGCGCGGGCGCGGGCGGCGCCAAGGAGGCCCTCGGCGACGCCGTCGACCTGCTCGAGGGCCGCCTCTTCCCCGAGTGCCGCGTGCTGGTGACGTGCTCGCCCGCGTGGAGCGCCGCCCTGCTGCCGCTGGTGCAGCGCCGCGTGGTGCTCCGAGGGATGGACTGGGCGCACGTGGAGCGCCTGGTGCACGCCTACTTCGCCAGCAACCACAAGCCCGAGAGCGCCAGCCGCTTCCTCGAAGAGGTCAGCTCTCCTCCTTCTGTGCTTCTGTAAAATTTCCCAAGGGCCGTTTCCAGCCAACAGCCGGCTGTGCTTGACGAGCCACACACTAGAAACCCACCCACTTGCGGGCTCCGATGTAAGGCCAGCCTCTTAGCCTCCTCGGCCATCCACATCGGCTCTTCTGCTTTTTGCTTATTGGGTATTATACAATTACTGCATTATTTATTATATCAAAAATATATTTAGTGAAAAATTATCCTTTTCATTTCTTCTTGAAATACACGTGACATTCATATTTTTACTTATTTGCTTATCAAAAGATCGTGAAGGAAGGTCTACACATTGCTCACCTAAATTTCAAGGGCCTATTGTTGCTAAACAATGGCTTATGAGACAAAAATATTGTACTTCGTTCATGTAGATAACACGGTAGATAACGTGGCAAAATATATTTAAATCCAGAGATGTAGAGTGTGATTACCTACTTCTTTGCATGAAATGACCCACACGTTATGTTTTTTTTTCATAATTGTTGTCATAATGTTCTATTGTTGGCTAAGCTAAGCTATCAGGGCTAAGTGAAAGTGTTCTGAACTACCGTCGGCCCTTCTTGTGTGGATGTGGCCGATAGTAGTGAGGACTTCGTGATTTGTAAATTCTTTTCAGCGGGAGTTTGGAGAACTACATTGTTTATCTTTTCAAAAGCAATCTATTATTTTAACTGCTGAAAATATGTTCATGTTGAAATATGGCATAGATAACACACTCCGAAAATGATATAGTGTCGTAAATACGACACAGAATGCAGGCATATTTCCAGCCATAAATATTTCCCGGCTTGACACATTAAAGCTTCGTTGATAACATGGACGTTTTGGAGCTTTATTCACGTTCAAAATAAATGCTGGAATAAATATTGGTTTTTGAAAATTAATCATAATGTATTATTTCATTGAAATATGTGGGAAACAATATTTTCGTAGCAATTTTTGAAGAATCTATTATTAAAAGATTGGTTGAACGAATTTCATTTTAAAATATTTTTTCATTTAGTTTGATACTTTTTCTGGTTCATATCTGTTCATTACTTTTTTTTCCTTTTTAAATATCTTATAGTGATATTTGTAAGAGGAATTTTCAGTGTATGATTATTTTGCCGTTATTTTACTAGTAAAGCTGCAGTTGGCTGCTGCTGTGCGTGCTGGCGGCATGGCGGCGCTGGCGGCGTGGCCGCTGGGCTGGCTGCTGCTGTGCGTGCTGTTCATTCTTGTGTGTGCTTGTGGCGCCTGCAGGGGGTGGGCAGCCCGCAGGTGCTGCGGCCGCTGGCGGCGTGGCCGCTGGGCTGGCTGCTGCTGTGCGTGCTGTTCGAGGAGAGCGGCGGCCGCCTGCCCTCGTCCGCGCTCGACGTGCACCAGGCCCTCTTCAAGTGCCTTATCCGGCGCAGCCTGGAGCGCAAGGGCGACTCGCCGCCGCCGCCCCCAGCGCCGCCCTCCCCCTCGGCGCAGCAGCCCGACCTGCCCGGCCACTGCAAGAAGCTGCTGGCGGAGTTCGGCAAGCTGGCGCTCGCCTGCATCAAGGTAGCTTGGAACGGGGCACCATTCCTGTTGGCGGCTCGGCCGGCTTGAACAACATTCGTAAGGGCCGTCAGGCGTGTTCCTAAGAATATTGAAATATTAAACGCAAACCAACGAAATTATAACTTACATATAACCGTAGCTCTTGAAATTTTCGTATTAATGCATTTCAGCATAAAATGAAAATGAAACAAATTTTCACCAAAATAGAGGCACAGCCAATTTTTAAAAATATGTATAAAATTTAATATTTTTGAAGGGTTAATAAGATGGTTATTTAGTTTATTTGTGAACTCAAAGTAGTGCTCAAAAGCTATTGGAGACCCTTCCAGCAGGGCTCCTTAGCACGTGCACGTGCTTAGTCTATCTGAGATGAGTTCCTCCGTTGCTGATTGTATTCCACCTTATTAATTCCAATAGATTCATAAGAGTAGAGGTGATATTGGAACCTGCTTTCGGCTCCCTAAATCTACTTGTTGGGTACTGTAATATATATTTCCTGTTGTATTTGGCATTTCATAGTAATACATTTGAATCACCATTTAATTCAAATACATCGTGTATAAATAGGGGTCATAAAATTGAAACCGCTATGAAAAAACTTTAAATTAGAAAAATTGCTTTTTTTACGTCTAGTATTCTAACTGTTCACCAAGTTCATTGCAATGGTGTTTGAAAAAAGCAAAATAACAAAAAGAAGGCGTAAAGAAAATTATGAATTTCATCTCAAGATATTTATTTTTTCGTATCATTGTGATTATTCTACAAAAATGAAAGGACTTAAGAGTTCTTAAGTGCAAACTTTAACCAAATTACCCCTCAGTACTTTAAATTTTGATTTTAGGGCACTTAAGTTTACTTGAAAGACATTTTTTAAAATCTAATGTGTAAAGGTTCAATGATTATAGACAACATATCTCCTTTACATTTCTTTATTACAAACCCGTATGATTTTTATGGTTTTGTAATAAAGAAATGTAAAGGACGTATGTTGGATGTTATCAACAAACATCCTTTTCATCAAGATTGAAGCTTATACAAATTAATTAAATGTATGAGAAGGCACAGTTGCAAATCAAGTGTTAAAATTGAAAGACATAGGTTAATATGCATTCGCAGATGCGGAATTAATAAAGAAATAAGTACATAAATGAATGAATGAGTGAATGAATGAAAGTTTGTACATGGAAATTGTGCTTCTGGACGTTCCTTGATAGTGAATGCGTTGCAGGCGGAGCGCTTCGTGTACACCGACGCGGAGATCCGCGCGCACTGCCGCGGGGGCGGCCTGGACGCCACGGAGCTGGGCTTCCTGACGCGCGGGCTCAACTTCGGCCGCAGCTACAACCAGAAGAAGCGGGCCGACTTCTACTCGCCGCTCGTGCGCTCGTTCGCAGACTTCCTCGCCGCCTACTACGTCTCCTCCGTCGTGCACTACGCCAACATCCTGCGCCGGGAGCTCGAGGACCTGCCCGGGTGCGTCCGAGGCAACCTTCCTCAGGGCAAAATGCCATTGACTCCTGTGCATAGGGCGCGGCGTCTTCCCGACAGCCAAGAAGCTATTTGCTCCACTCACTGAAGCTACGCTCCCATTTTCATGTTTTTTTACACATTAATAAATCGTTTGGATATTATATCACGTTCATGGTCGACTATCAATGTGCGTTAAAAAATAGGGTTTTATTTTTGAAAATGCGACCCGCAGTGCATCTCATGAGGATGGGGCGGAGGTAGGACTGAAAATAAAATATTGCATATTATTATTATTATTATTATTATTATTATTATTATTATTATTATTATTATTATATGGATATAATTCATTTTTCCTGTCTAAGTGATGGTTTTGGTAAATAAATATCCGGGTAATGTCGCATACTTAATTTTAATATTCAGTGATTGGAAAGTACTTCCGAATACACTGGGACTATTATTCTCTTCTATGTTTTTGTATTTCTTCTGACGCAACAATCCTTCATAATACTGTCATACTATATGGGATGTGCTGATGGGTTCGGTTTTCGGTGCAAAGTGCATTTTCTCTTGAAAATAATCTCCCCTCCACTTATAGTGACTGCTACAAATGCCGTTAGAGTGGATGAGTGTTCGGTCGAATTCGCGTACGGGCGAACATGGCCGATTACGTCCGAAAATTTCAAACACATACTAGTGATGATCGTACTGCGTCTGAGGCGTTCTGGCTATGGTTGCGAAACGTCCAATTTGGTGGAACGGTATGAAATTTTTCGGGCAACCTGAAGCATTCATGGGTGTCGCGTCATACGGGTGTAATCGAAAACAAACGAGAGTGGTTTGTAAAACAGTAGATTTATTAACAATCTAGACCGTAGTCTCAATTTCACAACTAACCTGCTCACAATAAACTAAATAAATAGACCCACTACAAGGATATATAATTTAAGAACGGCTACCACACCGCAACATACCACTGGTGTTCCCTGTATGAAACCGCTCTACTTTTAGACCATTTAGACTTTTAGACGTCTCGCAAGTCACGACAATGAATTGCCGGCCCTTCGCCCTAGTGCACCTACACGCACAGACACGCGCTTCACCTGTCGCCGACGCCTCTAAAACAAGAAGACTGGGGCATTGTTCTCCTGGCCTTATATAGGCCCTTTTGGCGCTGCCCTCCGCCCCCATTGCCTCCTCCCTAAAACCGCTCTGGGCCCGCTACATCCACGGAAAGACCCAGTGCGCCATCACACCGCCCTTCATTTAACATCAGGCGGTTTGAGCGTGGCACGCCCCTATAGTGCACGTAGATAAATGTGTTCGTTAGTTTATGATCAAGAAATACTGTTGAAGACCTACTCAGCTCTTCAAAATTATGACGATGGATTTCACAAAAAAAGAATCAAATTTGTTAAGATTGTTTCTCCCAAAGATGAATGTATCCTCACTAGTGCAAAAGGCACGTGAAGTTTCTTGTACAAATCTCACATGACGTATCAAAGATAGCCCGTATTAAACATAGGGCTCAGAGAGTTCTGTTCTCAACTGAATCTGTTCGATTCGATTCCGTGTGTCATAGAAGTAACGATTCGAGGTCTGGTGCAGTCGAATGCAGCGCGACCTCTTCCATCGAGCTGAGTTGGTTTGTCGTCCGCGCCCGTTGTTTTCTTCGATGGAATCCGATCCACTTAAGCAGTCCCTGGGGCGGATCTTTTAAGTTCATAATGCCATTTCGATGCCCCCGCTATTAAACCGCTCCTTCGGACGTTTCTAGCCGCAGCGGTCTCTTAACGTCATGGTCTTCGTCAGAACTGTTAGCCCAAGTTTCTTCCCGGGAAAAAGCACAGCGCTTGATTGCGAGCAAAGCAGGCAGAAGTCACCCTGAGACAGGAAAGATTAAAGTAAACGAAAGCGTTCATGGATACCAGAGCTGTTCCTTTGACCTCGCCTTCTGTGTAGACGTGCCAATATTCAGTGGAACGTGCTGTAATATTTTTTGTGGCAATATTCCATTTTACCTTTGAGAGGATTCTTTGACGTCATGAGCAGGAGGGCTCAAGGTTGCTGAAACCTTAATAGAAAATGAATAGAGCAACCCAAAAGTACATTTCTGATCCATCATACCGTAAACGACATAATCATTTGCAACACTTGCAGACATTCTCATTTCGACTCACAACACAGCTACTTGGCTACTCACAGCTACATTATCGCTAAGGAAGGGGTGGTGACGTCATGCGCGGCTTGAGAGGGATGGGAATTGAAAATATATTTCAAAATACGATAGAAATATGCTTTAAGCAAACGTTTCATTTTCACAGACAGGTACACGTTTTGCTGTCAATCGATTTTTAGGTATCAAAGATCCACAACTTATGAATTCATTAGGGACTATTAGGGACTGGAACAGTTTGCCTGTGACAATCTTCCACCCCTTTCCTCAAACCCGCCGTCATTCGCCAGGTATTAAGCGTAGAAACTACAGGAAACTAACGATCAGTTCAGCTGCTAGAATGCTCACAGTCGTTACTTTCGAGCCATTCTAGCGATAGGCACGTCTCGACTGCGTAACTGGCTTAGGTAGGTCAGGGCATCAATTGAAGTCACTGCAGTGCTTCTGACCGGGCGGCTCGAGTGTTCGAGTTCTCACGGTCGACACTAGCTACATAGCTAGGTGTAATTCAACCGCTGTGTGAAGAAGAATTCTAGGGACCGACTGCACTGATCGGTAGTTTTCCGTGCAACTCCGATCAACACCAGAGAATTGCCGGAGCAGGTGCAGGAACGGGCCATAAACCGAGCGCGATCTTTTTGGCCTCTTCCTTGACGAATGCTCACTCATTAGCTACACACACTTCCACTTGCACGCACTACGCTAGCACCCATGGCAAGAGTGCGGCTGATGAGAGTGTGTGGTGTGGCAGGTGCGGCGCGGCGGCGGGCGACGGCAGCGCGCTGCCCATCCTGCGCTTCGTCATGGGGCTGCTGGGCCGCAAGGCGCACCTCGTCTTCAGCCAGCTGTGCCCGCTGGAGTGCCAGGCGCGCGCGCTGTTCGCGCTGCTGCAGGCCGCCGGCGCGCACGAGCCCAACGTGGCGGCCGTGTGCCGCCTGCTCGGCGCCGCCTCCAACAGCTGGGTCGGCCTCGGCACCGCCGCC